TGATGATCTTGAGACAGGTAATGGAGTAGACATAAGTAAAATTACTTTAATTTGTTAATACTCTCTAATTGACATTTTTATTTCTACCTACTTTGGAAGGCATCTTTTTCAATGACATTTCCTTCATTTCAGTTCCACTTTTCTCTTTTTAGTCAGATTACTTTTTTTTATTTGGTCGAATATATTGGTATAAAATAATTCCACGATAAATTTCCTTAACATGAAATGAACACAAGGCGCGACCATAGCAATTGATAAGTGCTGAAGAAATCAACAATTTATTGTTTAATTTGAGCGGAGTACTTTTGGTTTTTGTTCCAAAACACAGAGTACTTCAATACATCCTTATCCTGGAAATAATTTTAATAATATTTTTCAGAAAAAAGAACACTAATATTATTACTAATACGGTTTGATTTGCATAGGTATTCGATACATTCTCAAAAGAAAGATATTAACAAAGGAGGAGATAGATCATTTAATTTTCAAAAATTTGCATATTGCTTTCATGTTTTGCTTAGTCGTCTGCCAGTTTGTTGCTATATATATACACCTGTCTCAAGCATTAACAACATGCGATTGTAATAAAAAAAAAATTACTTTAGCGGTGCCTAGTGCTTCAAACATTAACATCTATCTATTAATAAGAGGAGAGGCAAAAGCCACTATTTTTTGACAAGTGGCATCATCACAATAAGACATTTGGCACTTTAGGACATAGCTCCAATAAAATTGGAATTAAAAATAAATTGGACAAAAAATCTCATAGTATCAGATATTTTTATTTTTTAAGAAGCAAAATATCAAAAGCATCCTAAAGCTTATGTGCACGTTTAGGAGGGGCACATTTTTTAGACCTATATTTTTGGAGAAAATCTCCAGCAAAATTCGATATTCCATTTTCGTGAACTAAAAGTTTCAAGTTATTTTATTTTTAACAAGTACTAACTGATTTTACATGTGAACGTGAATACACACGTTTATATCTCACTTGCCCTATATTTTAGATTTTATCTAAACCTACGCTATGTAAACCTACCCACGATCTGTAACCATTTGTAACTGTTCAAATCTGGATAGGTAGCATATTCCGACTAACTTGCCAATTTCAACGGCTGTTAATTTGTGTGATATGCGTCCAAGACTCTCATGCTTTTAGGTTTGTTGATACTTTCTCTTAGAAATTAGTATTGTTTTCAAGTCTTGTGGTTGCTTCAGAAATCGTTGAAAGAATCAGATGAGATCACCAGAAAATAGAGTTGTTGTACATCAGCTTCATCACACTAAGGGTTGGCAACTAGCCCCACCAAATTTGGCTTTGCTTTTCCAAAGGACTCTACCACTTCTCACACCAAATTTTGTTTCTACGGCACTTTGACATGGAAGAACAGAGGAAACTCGCAAGAAAAATAGAATATGCATACGGAACCAAAAATGGCCTAAATATTACTCGGATAATAAAGGTATGAACTATTAACATCACTATTTACAAATTTTTATATAAAATCATATAATATTGTACTTAAAGTTACGAACACTAAAAACTAATTGTGACATATGAAAATAGAAAAATATAATTTTATGCAATCCTTTTGTTACAATACAGTTGTACTCTGTTCTTTTCTTTGCCGTTAATTAGATTCTCCTTCTTTTAACTTGATTTGTCTTTCTCCCTAGATTTTTATTTCGCCCTAAACTATCGATCAACTCCTTAAGTTTTTTTAACTATTCAAACTGTAGCATATTATCTGTGTACATTCTAATGATGAATAGAAAATTATGTACCTTTGTTCCAATACAGTTGTCCCATGTTCTTTTGTTTTGCTTAAATTAGTTTTTCCTTCTTTTTACCTCATTCGTTTTTTCTAATTGACCAGAAATAATTTTCTCATAAATGTTAGTGATGTCCTTAATTTTCTTTAATTGTTTAAAGCGTTTGCATATTATATGTGTACATTCTAATGATTATCTCTGTTGGAAAAAATAGTAAAAGTAGACTTATTTGAGTTTACACGGTTCTAGATTGTTCATTGAAATCATGTATTTCATTATGAAGCGATGACGTAAAAGATCTATATTATATGCGAGAATGTCAAAAATTAAATTTGAAAAAATTTATAAATCTTAACAAAAGTAATACATGATTAAGACAAAACAAATACGTATAAATTAATTGCTTGAAGTCCAAATTATCTTTCTCGATTCCTCATACATTTTACTTTAAAATAAATTAATATTTTAGGGCTCTGCAATTTGATGTTTAAATCTTAAATAGAAAGAATTTTAACTTGAATTATGTTAGAGCTCCTAACAAGAACTATCATGGACTTGACAAAAATTGTTTCTCTAAATTATTTTCACGTTCAAGCTCTTCTTGGATTAAAAAAAAAAGTGAACATTCAGAAATTTATTTATAGAGTTTTAAATTCATGTCATTATCGTCCATAGCTTCCTATAGAATTCAGAGGGTGATCATTTCAGAGGCTATATAATTTGTTATCATCTCTGCCCTATTTGACCATCTCATCCTTCCTGTGAAGTCATTGAATCTAGTAGCATTTTTTAAAGTTCTTTTGACAAAATTAGTTGTGTATGTCTATCGTATGTAATAGTCGCTTTTCTACATGCTTTAGTCTGTTGCAATTGGAGAAAAATCACAAAACAAATAAGCCCTTCATTACTTATATTTTTACTTTTAAGAGTGTTATTGGCTTTAAACATAGTTTATATTAGTTGATTATATTGTATATATAACTCTGTAGGAATTACTTTTTATTGTTCTTAAATTCCTTGAATAAATTTAGGGTCAATGAAGTAAAACCTTCTTTTTTGATACTTCAAACGCACTTTGGTATGTAAACATACGAATAAATTTATAAATAAAACACGTCTTGACACGACATCCTTTATTGGTTTGATATTTTCCTAAGTTTTTCATCTTAATACAATTAGCTAATTCTTTTGTTTTATGGTTTACAAACTTTGTTGATCCTGCTACTATCAGAAGGAATGCTTTTTGAAAAAGGAAAAATGAAACAACCATTAACAGACATAATAAATCGGTAAAATCCTACTCGATTACGTAGTACACCCATAAAGAGTTGTGGACACATTTCATCGTCTCAGTCTCAGGCACAATATCCAAATTCAATGCAAAAACAAGATCTGCGATGTGATTTGTCAACTTCAAATGTGCATACAGATCTTTTTCTACCAGATTTAAATGAGCTACGACTATTACAAGGTATTTATTTAACTTAACTTTATTTCTATAATATGAATAGTTCTAAATACTAATTGCATATTATTATAACTTATTAGTAGAAATTGAGGATATCAAACTTTTGCGTTGTACAGTCTCTCTATATAGGTAATGAGGTTATAAAGTTATATACTTAATTATACCTATTAAGCTTAAAAGATTGGAAAGAAAAAGGCCTTTAAGTTTTTATAAAGTTAAAACTTTTATTTTCTGTGTTATTTTTAGTGGAGTTATCATAAGTTATGTGTGATTTGACCAAACGTGAAATGGGAAAAAACCTATGGTGCAAATAATGGTTCCTTTTGAGCTTTTCCTGTAATTTTGTTATGCTAACTCAGTACTATTTTTTCCAGATTTTTTTTCCTCAGCCCACCTTACTACTAAGTAGTTATGTATTCTTTGAATATAATTTAAGTTGAAATGTCATACATTTAAGACATTGAAATGTCATAAGCTAAAGAAAAATGGTTCAGAGCCTTTGTAATGGGTGTTATTTGGAATACTAATGGGTATGGTAAGCATTATTGTTGTTCTCCTCCTATGAAACAAATGTTTGATGCAAATTTGTTAACAATTGCTATAGACTATAACAAAGGTGAAAAATTAAATTAACTTATACTTCAACCATCTGTCCTTATTGACAATTTGAAGTAACTGTACTGCCACGTGAGATGGCTAGGTATTGATATTCAATAGATGGATATCGAGTTGTATATTTTTTTATTGTTAAATCGAAATCCTAGTATATAGTATCAAATATTATGGAAGTTGTTTCTTTGGTTCCTTGATTTAGTTAATGTTTTTGAATTATTCACAATTAAATTATTATATAGTATTTTACTGGGCGTTTATGCAATCTCATTTTTAGAAATAACTTATTATCATAAATAAGTTCTTTTACAACAATCATATTTTTATTAATATTGTCTTTATTAGTGTTCATTCATAAATACATTTGTGACTATGTTTCAAATAGATAGGATTTCTTACATCAATTGTGTTTAATTTTTTCTATTATGTCATGATTAGTATCCCATTACGAGGATAATCCAAAATATGTTTTTTTTCTTTTGGATGAGTTTTCACTTTTAATATCTTATACACGTATGCCTTATAAAATAATAGATTGTGTACCTCGGAGTCATATTTCATATGTGATTTGGATGATATTACTTCCTATGTGTACTTTCAAAGCTCCTTCATATTATTTATGTACCTTCTAATGATGTTAAAAAGTTTCCGTGTTCTAAAAGAGTTAGTGATAGAGTTATTTGAACTTATGCAATTCTGAATTGTTCATTAAAATCATGTTTTGACAAGTCGATGGCGTAAAAGATCTATATTAAATGTAAGAATGTTAAATAATAAATTTGGAATATATTATAGATAAAAAGTAATGTTGAAACATATCTTGGGGATTGGTGGTCTCTAGCAAAAAAAATTTAGACAGACAATTCAATTAAATTCATCTTTTTCTTTTTGATTTAATTCTTTTTAATACGATCAATAAATTTAGTGTGCAATATATATATGTTCCCAATATCTCTACTTTTTTTATTTAACTGATGCGGGTAAGTATACTAGTTAAGAAGAAAAAAAGAGAGATCTTATAAAATAATGTACATATTGGACAATATACTAAAAGGGTAAGTAATTGAAATATTTCTTTCTTAAAAATTAACCGGAAAGGGCATTTGTACTACAGTAATAGCAAGTGGGGCTGGTAATTATAGAAAGCACCAAATCCGGCAGGCGTGCTTCCACCGAAAGATTAAAATGAACAGACAAACAAAGATGCTTCCCAAGGTTTGAGATATTGTCGGAGAACTCCACCTCCACCACCACCACCGCTTAAACTCTGCTCTTCAATTCCGGTAACTCGTCAGCGGGATCTCCGATCAGGTACCCCTTTTTTCTCATTATAACGAACTTACTTACCTCTTTGGGGTTTTATATTATTTGTTTTCTTGAACAGAGTGACATTAGTTATCCTAGGGTTATCTTCATTTGGAAGGGGGGAAAAAGCAACCTTTTTTGTGTAACTTATAGCTTTAGGGGTTTGCCTTAATCTCTAATTGCTTTAAACAATTGGGATTTGCTTGATTTCATGATTCCATAGAAGAAGAAGCAGCAAAGGGTTGCTATGATTTTTGACCTTGTATAAACAAATGGGCTACTGGGTGTTTTTTGTTTTGTGGAAGAAATAATGTCAGTTAGATGTTTATATTACTAATCTTGCAGAATAATCACTTTTACTTAGTTATGTTTGATGTTGTTTCTATTTTTTTGTTTTTTGTTGTTGTTGTTTTGCAGTGTTAAGGTTATTATGTATGTTGGACACCTTCAGTCGTCGCTCTGTAGTTTTCTTTGGTATGTTATTCAGATTATCTCTATCTCTTTAATATGTACTATCATACTTCGTAGACTGTGTCCTGTTTACTCTAATTCTCGCGCTACTGCTGCTCCTAGAGGTGTTTCTATGTGCAATTTCCTTACTTTCTTCTTGATTTACCATAGTTTGTCCATGTATTTTGAGAATATTTGTGCTGATTCGAAGTTTATTTTGGAGCCTTCTGGCTATTCACCATAGGATCTCCTTTAGTTTTTAGGCATACCTTCCACTGGCAAGTTGATTCCTTTCTGCTATATGTAGTTTCTCTTAAGTTACATCTCCGTGTTATCTATTCTAGGTTACCTATTATCTCCATTATCTTTGTGGTTCAAATTAAGTGTCAGAGCTTTTGGTCTAATGGTGGCCAATGTGCTAGAGTCAACTTTGAGAAACAGCTTTCTATTGAGAGAGATCTTCGTAGAAACTTAAAATATTTGGGAGATTTTGATACTTTGACAAAGTATTGGTGATTTGTGATTGTAGAATGTGAAAATGCACCCTGGCAATTCTGGAAATAGAAAATGCATTCAAGACTGGTGTGAAAAGGGTGAGATGTCTTTAATCAGCTTCAAGAAATTCAGTCCATAAGAAGGCTTTTTTTTTTTTAAAACTTTACAAGTTAAGATTTTATTAAAACAGTATCAAGTTGATACTGCAAAAAATACAGAGATAATGTTGGCTTGATTACATTAAAATCCTAAGCAATCTAGCATGTCCAGCAGGTTACGTAAATTCGTAACAGGGTTTTCATCTTTCCACTAGTTTAATCAATGAAACAGCCATATTTCAGACTGCATTTCCTCCTGTTTGCCTTCAAAACACCTCTTATTTCTTTCTTCCCATATAGTCCAAGCTATGCTGGCTTGATTACATTAAGAAGGCTTTGGAAAAGCATCAAACTTTGATGAGAAGTTAAAACAGGTTCTTTTCCGACTTAAGAGTGAAAAAAGATGATTTGAATGGATTGTTGGGCCAAATGAGTAACGGCAAAAAACAACTTACAACATTCATAACAACTAGAAAAACAATGCAAGTGAATTTCTTTTCATCCATAATTCTTCTCCATACACTTATCTTATTGGAGTTGACTTTGGTGTTAGTTGTGCAAGAGTGTAGGATTTTAGAAAAACAGGTGATGTAATGGATTAGACCAACAACTACGCCTCAGTCCTATACTAGTTGCGGTTAGCTATATGTATCCTCACTGACCATGTTTCTCTATTTAAGCTTAGCTCATGTCATCATCATATCAAATAAAAAAAGAAGTGCAAAATAAGTTAAATTTGAATAAATAATATTAGTAATTGGTAATTATTATAGCAGTAGTAGTAGTAGTAATAATAATAATAATAATACCCATGGCTATATAATTTGGTGAACAGTTAAGAAGCTATTGTGTCTCCACGTATTCGAGGAGGCTTGTGCAGGGGATCACTTGTTTATAATCTTTTGAGGGGCCATTCAAGTTGGGAATAGAAGGTACTTACTCCTAATGAAATTTATGACTGTCTAGGAATTGTTNGGGGGGGGGGGGGGGGGGGGGGGGCGCATGTTTGGAGGGGAAGGTGCCAAATCTTTTTTCCTTGATTCCTTCTATTGGGAACTTGTTGGAACAGGAAATGAACGAGGTACAGAAATGAATCTACCACATACCACAACAACAACAACAACAACAACAACGACCCAGTATAATCCCAAGTGGAATCTACCACATACCAGGGCATGGAATACATTCACTTTCTCTTGCCCTTCACTTGGTAAGTTGGTAGGCAATTAGTTCATGTTGCATAGATAAGTGGACAAAAAGGTGCTTGGGAGAAAGAATTCTAAAAGGAGAAGATTTCGTCCACCAAGCGGGTAGATTTTTACGAGGTAAAAGGAATATTTGTAACTGCATGCCCTACCCCTAAGACCATCTTGGTGTACATTAATAAAACTTTCTTTGTACTGATTAAGAAAAAGTTTCTTGGTCAACCCTCCGACCCCCATAAAACAAGAAGAAAAAGAAAAAGAACTTGGTATACTCTATACAATTTGGAGATGCAGCGCCAACGACAAACCTTGAAGTAAGGAGACATATCATGGTGAGTTGGTCTAGTTTATATGAAGAGCAATGAGAGGACACATGCCATATACCATTGCATTGTAGGTCTACATCACAGCTGTGGCTTGGTTTTCACTTTGTTTAATATTTCATGGGTTGTGCCAAAGACATTGGGGCAGGTGTACCGAAGATCAGTAATGATTGGAGTACAACTTGGTGGAACAACATTGTCGCATCTCTTTTGGCTAATTTGGAAGGAGAAGAATGAAAAATGTTTCAAACTGTACGTTGTATGTAAATATCTAAAGAATTAAATTACATTTCATTTATTCTTTTGGGGTAAAGGAAGAAGTGTAAGGTAGTTGGGCCAATGGGATAGGTGACGGTTGAGCACATTTGTACATTTTTTGGTTTTTTGGGGATAACTGAGAAACTCCCTTTGAGTTAGATAACTCAACCCTGGTTCAATTTGGGGTGGGGTGGGAGTGTGTGTGTGTTGGGGGTTGGGGTTGTGGGGGGTTGTGAGCCTGTCCCTCTATCGCAAGCTGACTTGAATACCAGTTTTCTTTGTTAAGTTTTCCGCACTCCAAACCATCGTGCTTGAAATTGGTGCAGCAGAAGGTGTCATCTGATTATCTTTGTTGTCGGTTACATGTATTGCCTTTTGTTGGTTTGGAGAGTTCAAGCGCAGAAACTTTTCTTGAGTTTGGTAACAAAAGATATTCTTATGGAGGCTTGGAGGAGTTGGGGTGGAATTCTTGAACTTTTATTGATTTTGGGGGTAGACAATGATGGAGGCAAATTTGTGAGTTATGACTTAAAAATTGATAAGGGATCCTTGTATTTGCTTGTTAGATACTGATGAATTTCTGCTCAGATCTGGATGCGTTAATAACATTTACTTCTCTAATTTTTCCTTTTCTGATAAGGTAAAGTATAATTACATTTACTTTTCCTTATGAGATCTTAAGGTAAAATTGCTCAGGATGGATGCTGATGGTACCAGGGATTGTTTTGTTTAGGTGTCGACAAGCTTTTGATCTTTTGCTGCTTTGTTGCTTTCCCAAGTGTACTCTACTGCTATTTGTAAAGATTTTGTTTTCGACCTTGGCAGATTTTTCTGGATGCTGCAACTGTTAGATGTTTGGAAATTCTTATTTGCCTGTTTGTGATTATTTCATGCATCTCTGACAGGGTTTAGGTTTTACAGGTTAATCACCACAATCTTTTAGGGGTCGGGCTTTGATTAATCTTATCGCATTACAAGTAGCTATGCAACCCAGTGGTGCAAAAGATACACAACTCCGCGAGAGCAACAGCCAAAAGGTCCATCCACAACCTATGGAGGAAGCCGCAAACCAAAATCCTGAAGCAGTTGAAGCTATGGTATCTAGGATTTTTACAAATATCTCATCCCTGAAGTCTGCCTACATTCAACTCCAATCTGCTCATACTCCATACGACCCGGATAAAATCCAAGCTGCCGATAAACTTGTAATTTCGGAGCTGAAGAATCTCTCTGAACTCAAGCACTTCTACAGGGAGCACAATCCCAAACCTGTGTGTGTTTCACCTCAGGACTCTCGCTTGGCTGCAGAGATCCAAGAACAGCAGAGTTTGTTGAAAACATATGAAGTTATGGTGAAGAAGTTTCAATCTGAGATTCAGAATAAGGATTCTGAGATTGGTCAGCTGCAGCAGCAGATACAAGAGGCCAGTCAGAAGCGGGTCAAATTGGAGAAAAACCTTAAGCTCAGGGGCTTGTCAGCCAAAGAATCAGAAAATGCAGTTGACGAGAATGGGCTTTACATCATGGACCTAACACCTGTGCTTTTCAGGTCAGCTGTGGAAGCTGCTTACAGGGCCATTCACGACTTCTCTAAGCCATTGATCAACATGATGAAAGCTGCTGGTTGGGATCTTGATGCTGCAGCAAACTCCATAGAGCCAGATATAGCTTATGCAAAGAGAGCTCACAAGAAGTATGCATTTGAGTCACATATCTGCCAAAGAATGTTCACCGGATTTCAGGACGAATTCTTCTCTGTGAAACATGAGAATTCAGCTGTCACCAAGGATAGTTTTTTCCACCAGTATCTTGCATTACGTGAAATGGATCCACTGGATGCTGTAGGCCAAAGTCCAGATTCCCTTTTTGGGAACTTCTGCCGCAGCAAATATATAGTGGTGGTTCATCCAAAGATGGAGGCTTCATTCTTTGGGAACGTGGATCAGCGAAACTATATTATGGGTGGCGGGCACCCAAGAACAGCTTTCTACCAGGCTTTTCTGAAACTGGCCAAGTCAATTTGGCTTTTGCATAGGTTGGCATATTCATTTGATCCTCCAGTTAGAGTATTTCAAGTCAAGAAGGGAAGTGAGTTCTCAGAGGTTTATATGGAAAGCGTTTTGAAGAATTTTATTGTAGATGAAAACGAGGAGAAGCCTAAGGTTGGTCTGATGGTTATGCCTGGTTTCTATATCGGCGGTAGTGTGATCCAGTGCCAAGTCTACCTAACCGGCGTGAAGGTTACTGAATGATATTTTGTTCTGTCTTTGTATTATGCTGATTTCTATATGTATATCGTGTGATTATACTTTATCGTGCCTTATGTTTTAGCAAATGTTGTTACATACTGGCCGTCTGATGTAAAATGTGCCTTTCAGTAATGACTAGATATAGTGGTGTTCATCGGTTGGTTTGGTATGGTTTTGAAAGATTTTCTTTTTGTATTTTCGGTATTCCATTTAGATATGTTATACCGATATCATACTAAAATAAACTCAGTATGGTTCGGTTGTTCATTTGGTTGCGTTTGTGCGGTTAGTAACTTCTCTATTACTCATTAAAGTAATATTCTATGATCTAAAAAGGTCATTCTCTTAGTAACTTCTCTATTACTCATTAAAGTAATATTCTATGATCTAAAAAGGTCATTCTCTTTAAATGTGAATGATTTTTCAGACTTGAAGATTAAATCAAGCAAAAAAAAAAAAGGACAAATTAAATCAAAACGTTAATGATATTTCATTCTAAAATTGAAGTCAAATATTTAAAACAATTTTTAGCACTCTTCGGGCTTTCAAGTCTTTGTAGCTTAGTTGCTGTAACAACCATGGATATTGAGGGATACATTGACATATTAATGCACATCGTATATTTTTTACTGTAATATCCTCGGTAACACCAATACACTATTATTTGTGCAAATTTACAGATCATTAGTTTTATAATATGGAAATGAATCGTAGTAGCCATATCATCTCTGTTAATTTCATTCCAAATCATGTATTTCCAGATCTTGGCAATAAAAAATAAGGTGACAGGTGGTGTGTTTTACCAAATAATTTCTTTTAAAAAAAAACAGAATTATTCATCTGTCATCTTTGAAAGAACTTGAAATGATTCCGAGGCAATAGATTTCTTAAATGTTTTGTTTTCTGATAGGCAACGATTCCGAGGCAACAATGGATAACCATTGAGTGGGAGATCCAAATTCACCCCCCACCTTCCCCACAATCAACTTACTCTCTAGATTAAATTTTAGTCAATCACTTTGAATCTTTTTCTTTTTTAAGGGAAAAACCTAGCTTAGCAAATGCAGAAAAAGAAAACGAGAGAGAGAGAGAGAGAATAGGATTTGTTTTCTAATTAAATTATCATCAAAAAGTCATCTTCTACGCACCTTCTATTAGTTAATATTCGGAGAAGTTTAGTTGGTGGAACTATCTTATTTATTTCTTGTTTATAGGAGACCATAGGAAAAAAGAATCGAAGGAGGGCCAAAAAAGAAAAGAAAAACAAAACCTTAACATTTTGTTGTGTTGACTAGTTTAGGCATTGAGTATATCCTAGATGCGTTATGCATGGACCATGATCTTAGCTGCTTCTACTGTTTGAGCACATGATCCTAAACAATACTTTATCAATTTAACTATGTTCTCAATTTTTGGACGGTTTAAGAAATCTTCCTTCAATTCGACCTAAATTGTTGTCGTATCTTACTCAATTTTTTTTTTTTTTGATTTGTTCTACAAAATTCTCAAACCTAAGTTAACGATAGAGTAAAGTGTTTTTCGTGGAAATGAGAAAATTGATTTGAAAAAAAGCAATCAACTTAACAAGTTCAGGGTTTTTGATAACTAGTATAAGGAACTTCCAGTTATTATTAGAGGTGTCCTCAGGTTCGTTAAAATACAATGACCATCTACCATCTTTTGGAGTTAGATTTTGAAACCCAAAATCACATAAAATTAAAGATTTTGAAAACAGGTATGCATATTCTTATGTGTTTTTAGCTTAAGTACAGGTTGTAGCTTTCTTATTTAGTTTTAAACCTAAAATATGGCTGGTGATTCTCAAATTTGATCTTCAAAATAAAGATTTAACAATCTGAATTATGAGATCTCAGATCTTTACATTATACTTTATTATGTATTAAGATTTATAAATACAATGAAATAAATAATTTAGGTTGATACCAAGCATAATGGTGGTCAGCAATTTACTCTATCTTTTATTTCTTTATTTTGTCTGAGACAAGTTGCGGTATTCATGGATGAGGAAGCGTGCTCCGAACAAGCTAAACAAACCGTTGGCATCACTCTTACCAGACAACCAATTTTCATTTGTTTGTAAAATCAGATTATCTTTTAATTAATCAGTTTAATTTACCGATTTTACTTGCCAATCGACTTAATTACTAGCTCAATAGCATCTGGTTATAATTTGAGCTTTGAGGTTTGTAGTTCCCGTCCCTAAAGGGAGATGTAAAACAATTATGAATTTAAGTTATATACATCAGGTAACTTAATTATTTTTTTTTTTACATTATTTAACGTCTGATAGTAAGTTACATACCATTAATTATTATGAAAGCTTAGAGTTTGAAGGAGTTACGATATAATGAAGCTGCTTCATTATATAATTTCTTCTTAGTGCTAATATGAATTATTTGCATAACTATAGGATGTAATACTTTGTTTTCATCTTAGTACTAATATTATAACTTGTTTAGCCAAACTTTTAAAATCAGCTTATTTTGGGAAATATTTTTCTCAAAAGTGCTTTTTAAAAAAGTGTTTTTGGTGATGAGTAGTTTGTGTTTGGTTAATTAATTTGAAAAGCAGTGTTTGGCCAAGTTTTTAAAAACTGCTTCTAAGTATATTTAACTCAAAAGTGCTTTTGAAGAGAGACTATTTTTTTCTGTTTCTAAAAAAAAAAAATACTTTTTTCCTTCTAAAAGCTTGGCCAAATACCTCAATTTTAGGAAAAAAAAATACTTTTGGCCAAAAAAAAACTTTTAACCCAAAAGAAAAATCAGCTTAATTTGAGAAGTGTTTTTTTTTTCTAAAGCGCTTTTTTCAAAAGTATTTTTGATGAAAAGCAATTTGTGTTTAGTTAATTAATTTGAAATATACTTTTAAGCAGCAATTTGTGTTTGGCCAAACTTTTAAAAAGTGCTTCTAAGTATATTTTTCTCAAAAATGCTTCTCAAAAAAGTGTTTCTGGGAAGAAGCTACTTTTTTTTGCTTCTCCAAAACGGTTTCTATTTCTACTCAAAAGCACTTTTTTTCTTCTAAAAGTTTGGCCAAACACTTTAACTTTAAAAAAAAAAAATACTTCTCAACTTGAAGAAGCTTGACCAAAAAGGCTATATAATGCTTCCCTTGCTTCAAAAAAAAAATCCGCTTCGAGGGAAGGAAAATATTACGGCGAAATTATGGTGAAACTTGTACAGTTTATGGAATTTATCCCATTGTATCGGCAAAATAATTAAGCAACGAATTAAGTAAATCGAAACACAATAAACCAATTGCTCTGACAAGAATTAATCGCAAACTTTGCATCTGGTTCTTTGAAGGTTCTTGCACGTGTAAAATCATTAAATTAAAGGAAAAGAAGTCAACTCTTATGTATGTGACAAGTTGTTTCTATATAAATACTGTAACTCCGTAGCAATCTTCTCACAAACTTAACATTGCTGATTAGCCATCAATAATCAAGACAATGGAAAAAATTACCCTTTTCCTAATTTTAATTTCTTCAATATCTCTATCTTCTCCTTTGTTGGAGCAGTGAAGGGCCCTAGTGCTAGACTTTCACAACCTCGTGCCAACAAATTGGTGCTGTCACAATGCAGGCGAACTCGTTATCCAAAGCTATGTATGACTTCTTTGTCAAAATACGTCACTCCTACATCTCAACCCCAAGAGCTAGCTCAAGCAGCGTTACATGTGAGTTTAGTCAAGGCTATCTACGCAAAAGCATACGTGAATAAGGTTTGCAAACAACTCCAACAAACAAAGGCTAAAGATTATCAAGTGGTGAAAAGTTGTTTAGATCAAATCTCAGATGGTGTATCCTTACTTTCCAACTCAGTCCAAGAGCTTCACCATTTGAATTTAGATAAGGAAAGTGATTTTATGTGGCATAGGAGTAATGTTCAAACTTGGCTTAGCACAGTATTGACTGATGCTTTCACATGCATGGATGGAATATCTGGCTACAAAATATTGGGTGGTAAAGTAAAGGCTACAATTAAAGCTAAAGTTCTTAATGTTGCACAAGTTACTAGCAATGCTTTAGCTTTGTTTAATGGATATGCCGTTAGGCATAAAGTTTCTCATCACTCTAGCTCTGGTAAAATTAACAAGCCATAGTGATCGCTTGAATCTTGGATTTCTTTATTTAATTATGATTTTTTTTGTTTGTTATGTATGTCAAAAACGTATGTAACTTCAATTATATATATGCACAATGCATTTTGCAATTCTTTGTTTCTTCTTTTTCTTTTTTTCCTGTTATGTATTTGACCTATATATATCACAATTTCTCTTAGATCTGTTGTGGCACGGATGATCATAAGCAAACTAAATAGGTTCAAATTAGAAGAACTCATGTGTAATTAGAGTTTATATATGTAAATTTTAGTGTAATGTTCAGTATGTCGTTAAGAAAAAAGGTATAATAAATTATCACAAAGAATGTTGAACTATATAATGTCACGACCTGAAAATCAATAATATATCCGGAGTCATAATTCACGACATTCTAAGATTTTACTACAAGTATTTGTCTGAAAGAAAATACATTTGCTTGCGAAATAAAGAAAACAGTAAAGTATGAGGTATAGAAGGGGACGCCAGGGCCTGCGGACACCGGCATGTCTACCTTGGGTCTCCAACTAACAAATCCTATAGCCAACCTCTCGATCAGCCCGAACCAGCTCCAAAATCTGCACAGGAAGTGCAGTATCAGTACGACCGAGCCCATGTACTGGTAAGTGTCGAGCCTAACCTCGACGAAGTAGTGACGAGGCTACGGCGGGTCAATCACAATATAACCTTCATACAGTATATAATAAAAGCAGAAAGAAAGACAGGATAAAATAGAGCAGTAACTTGCAAGAAGTGAATACAGTTCTCGAAGCATATCATCAGTGTTTAGCTACTACCAATCCTTAAGTGCAATTTAAGACTATCGTACAACTAGCATAGTCAAGAAAAAGTATAAACATATAGGTCGTTGCGGCGTGCAACCCGACCCCACCGTACATCTCATGTTCCTCCCTTATTTCCTCTTATTAATAAGAACAATGGGATATAAGTAAAAGTGTTGCGACGTGCAATCTGATCCCACCATATCACAATAATCACAATCATAGTTCACCCTTATTTCACCACAATCCACCCTTTTACACTTGTTGCAGCGTGCAACCCGATCCTACCATACGTATCATTTCACCCTTATTCCTCTTCTATATATCACCCTTATTCCACCTGTTGCGGCGCGCAACACGATCCTACTATATCAGTATTAGTTATTCAGTAAGTACAGAAATTTCACAATTCAAATCACATGACCCTTCACAAGGCTTAACTTCAAACCCAAACAATTAAGAAGCTTATACACTATGAAACTTTACACAAGTAATACTACTCAGCGAGACCAATTTAGAATATGCCTTGAAAGTACCGATAACCAGCTTAAGCAATTAGGAGACAACGAAGCTACGAAATAACTAATATCTTCAACAAAGAGAAACAATGTCTAACAAGTAGCAATTAACTATGGAAATACAAGTAAAACATGTTCCAGTTAAGGTAGGAAAAGACAATATAAGAAGGAGGGGAAGAAAACAGGTAGAAACAGATAACTTGGCGGCGCATAAGTACTCGTCACCTCACATATACGCCGCTCACATGGATTTCATATAGCAAATAAGTCAGGGATTCCTAATCCCTCGAGTCAAAGTTAGACACGACACTTACCTCGCTCTACGGGCCACTCAATGCTCAATTACCGCTTTTCCTCTAGTATCCACCTCCAAGCCACTCGTATCTAGTCACAATTAATTCTATAACCTCAATTATTGCTAAAAGAATCAACTACAATGCATAAATTTAGATTTGCAAACTTTCCTCCAAAAAGTCAAAAACCGACCCCAGGCTCCCTTGGTCAAAACTCGAGGTTCGGACCAAAATTCATTTACCCATTTACCCCCGAGCTCGGATATATTATTGGTTTTGGAATCCGACCTCAATTCGAGGTCTAAATCTCCAATTTTCCAAATCCCTAGTTTCTACCCAAAACCCCCAATTCTACCATGAACACTCTAGATTTTAGATTGAAAATTCATGAAATGCAATGAGTAATTAAAAGAAAGTGGTTTAGAATTACTTACCAACACTTTGGGGAAGAAATTAGCTTGGGATAATCGCCTCTAGGTCGTCTAGCATTTTGAAAATTTGAAAGAATGGCTTAAGTCTCGTTTTTTATTCTGTTTTTAATAACTGGGCAGGCCTTCTTCGCGTTCGCGAAGGGCCTGCCGTGCTCGCGAAGGGTAGAGGCCAAGAAGGCCTGCGAGTTCGCGAAAGGTTGCACGCGTTCGTGATGATCTGTCCCCCTATCCATCGCGTTCACGAGCCTTGGCTCGCGTTCGCGTAGAACAACCCACTGATTCCCAGTCCACCTCCAATAACTCCATGCGTTCGGGTGTTGCCGGTCGCGTTCGCGAAGAGCAGACCCACCAGTGCTCCGTGTTCGCGGCTATGGACTCACGTTCGCGTAGAATAAAACCATCCACAACCTAGCTCACACTTAGAGTTCGCGAGAGTAGCTTCTCGAATGCGAAGAAGGAAACCAGAAAACACTGACTACAGAAAAATTAGATTTTTTCCCAAGTTCAAAACATCCCAAAGCCTATCCGAAACTCACTCGAGCCCTCGGGGCTCTAAACCAAACATGCACCCAAGTCCTAAAACATCATACTAACTTGCTCGCGCGATCAAATCGCCAAAATAACACCTAGAACTAGGAATTGAACACCAAATCGAATGAAATTTTCAAGAAAGCTTTAAAACTTCTAACTTCACAACCGGACGTCTGAATCACGTAAAACCAATTCCGTTTCTCGCCAAATTTCACAGAAAAGTTATAAATATTATATTAGACCTGTACCGGGCTCCGTAACCAAAATACAGATCGGTTATCAACAAGGCCAAACATCAATAAATTCTTTAAAACTATTAGATTTTCAAACTTTTAATTTTCAACAAAAATTCATAACTCAAGCTAGGGACCTCGAAATTCTATTCCGGGCATACGCCCAGGTCCCATATTTCAATACAGACCCACTAGAATAGTCAAAATACGGGCCTGGGTATGTTTTACTCAAAACGTTGACCGAAGTCAACTAAAATCAACTTTTAAGGCAAAAATTATTATTTTCATCAACTTTCAACATAAAAGCTTTCCGAAAATACGTCCGGATTGCGCACGCAAATTGAGGAGGGTAAAATGAAATTTTAAGGCTTAAGAGCACAAAATCGAGTTCTAAAATATAAGATGACCTTTTGGGTCATCACATATAATTATAGTATTCTCCAAAATAAACTTTAATTAATTTACAAGAACTTCCAAGAGTTAAAATCAAGCCTCTAGTTCTTTCTTTTTGCCCTTTTAAAATTATTTATGTGCCTAGAATTTCTTTCAATTTTGATAATCAAATCTTATCACCAAATATGTGAAATCACTTCTATACCAAATTGATAGAAACTAGGAATACACCAAACAGTATAGAGAACCAGGTTCTCTATCTCTTCCCACAACAAAGAGATAGAAAGTAAAAAATACACGATATTTACCTGGAAAACTCCTTACTTATGGGATTAAAAATCGCGGCCTACCAAAGTAGGATTTCAACTCCACTAAACCGAATAACTTCAGATTAAAACATATTGCAATCTAGGAATTAAACTCCTAATCCCTTGCCCCTTACAATAACTCTATTGTAAGCCTTTTCCAATAATTCTATTTCAAAGCAAACATACCTTGACTAACTCTAGTCAAAAAAACCAAAACAATAATGGTTGAATTTTATCCACTTCTCGAAAGTAGTGCAGGATTAAAAGTAAAAAATAAATGCCAAAGACTCAACAAACCTAAGGACCTGAGACATTTTCAGTATTGAGATTTGGTCCTTGAGTTTGTAATAACTTTGTTCTTGAATACACCTTGAGAGCAGTTCCGGCTAGTGTAACGACCTGATCGTTCGTTTTGAGCTCTAGCTTGTCGTTCAATAGTTTGAGGCTATGAGTAGCTTCACTTCAGGTATATGACTTGTACTCATGGTCGGAATTGAATTTTGGGAAGTTCGAAGTTGATTTGGAAAGAGAAGTCTCATTTCGGAAGCTTTAAGTTGAAAGAATTGTCTAAGATTGGATTTTTGAGTAAACGACCTCGAAATCGGGATTTGAAGGTTTCAGAAGGTTTGCATGGTGATTTCGGAGTTAGGCGTATGCCCAGATCGAGTTTTAGGCAACCCGAGAGCGTTTTGGCACCTATTGTGGAAGTTAGCATTTTTGGAAGAATTTCATAAATTTGGGTTGAAGTGCATTTCAATGCTATCGATGTCCGTTTGGGATTACGAGTTTGGGAATAGCTCCGAATGATGATTCTAGTATTAGGAGCGCGATCGGAAGTGAATTCGGAGATCTATAGCCCATTTTGGAGTCATTTGGCTAAAAATTGAAATTTGAAGGTTTTGAGAAGTTTGACCGGAAGTGGACTTTTGATAACAGGGTCGGATTCCTATTCCGAAAGTTGGAATAGGTCTGTAATATCAAATATGACTTGTATGTAAAATTTGAGGTCAATCGGACGTGAATTGATAGGTTTAGACATCGAAAGTAGAAGTTTGAAATTCTAAAGTACATTAAGCTCGAATTGGTGTGCGATTCGTGATTTCGACGTTGTTTGATATGATTTGAGGTCTCGAGCAGGTCTGCATTATATTTTGGGACTAGTTGGTATGATTAGTTGGGATTCCGAAGGCCTCGGGTAGATTCCGGATGGCTAATGGATCAAATTTGAAATTTGAAGAAGAATTGAAACAGCTGGTATCTAGTGTAACCGCACCTACGAGGTTTTGGCTGCAAGTGCGGAGCCGCAGAAACAACCTTGGTATCTTAGAAGCGGAAATGGCTGGGCTTGGTTGGGGGCGCAAGTGCGACGCAGCTTCCACAGAAGCGAGACCGCAAAAACGGTCCTGGCTCCGCAGAAGCGATCTTGGGCGAGTTAGTTGAGACCGCACCTGCGATAGAAATTTTCGCAGGTGCGGAGCTGCAGAAGCGGCAGGTGGACTGCAGGTGCGAGAAGCAGGCTGGGCATTGTGTTCTTTTAAAAGCGAGGGTTTGGCTCATTTTCACCATTTTTTCCTCCATGAGAGTCGATTTAGAGCAACTTGGGAATGCCATTTTCACCACCAAGCATGAGGTAAATGGGTTGTGTTAGTTTTGAGTTAAATACATTGATTTTTGTATAGATTTTAGCATGAAAATTGGTAGAAACTTGGGGTTGAGGGGAAAACCTAGAAAATTGGTATTTTTGGATTTTGACAACGATTTTGGACATGAAATTAAAAGTAACTTACATATTTGAGTTCCTGAGGTTATGGATAAACTTTATCTTCGAAAATTTCAGAATCCGGGCACGTGGGCCCGAGGGCGTTTTTGTCGACTTTTCGATCGGGGTTAGGGATTGTTATAACTTGGATTATAATGAGTAATTGAACACATATTAATGGGTTTACATAATTATTGGCTAGTTTTGGAGCATTTTGCATCTATTTGAGTCTTCGAAAGGGCGTGGAATGCCGGTTATGAAACTTCGGAGCGAGGTGAGTCTCCTTTCTAACCTTGTAAAAGGAAATTGTCCCCATAGATGAATTAATTGGTTATGTGCTTCTAATTATGGGGTCTACGTACGCACAAGGTGACGAGAGTGCGTACGTAACTACTATTATATCTATGTCCGGGTAGTTTTAGGCCTACATCATGCCTTGATTGATATCATTGTTAATTTATGTTATTGTTGTCTTGAGAAGAAACAAGATTAGGGTTGCGTAATAATTGTTTTGAAAGGAATTTGAATTGAGAAAATCTAAGATTTTTAAGGGTTTCCATGAAACTTCGTATTTTCGAAAGAATTGAGAAATATTATAATGACTTAAAAAATCTATGTGTAACCGCGTCGCATGTGCATTTCGCGAGCTGTAAAATATCTATAAAAGCTTCACGTTGAATTGTCCTTATTTTGAAAGAAAATCAAGAAAAAAGATTTTGATTTATTAATCAATTATATTGGTCGCGTCGCATGTATGATTCACGAGCAAGGAAATTTCGTGAATTATACTTGACCGCGTCGCACGTATGATTCGCAAGTGGGGTATTTCCTTCTACTACTCTTATGGGATCGGTCCGTTCGCCTCAGCAAGATTTATGTACCATACTCTCATGGAAACGGGCCGTTCGCCTCGGCAGGGTAATAGATGCATCTATGGTTCGCGTCGTTCGACCCTCGACAGTGAGTTTACTTTTATGTTGGATTGGCATTTCCTATATATATACATCATTTTTATGGAACTCGTGAATAATATTTGGCTAGAAGCCGGTGTATCTTAGGGTTTTTCCCTGATTTGATTTATGAAAACCTCTTGAGGATATGCACTGTGAGCACGTGATTTTTGCCTTACGAAAAACTACTCCAAAATAAATCAAAATAAATTTC